GCAGTTTGGGGTGAAAAAAAAAAAAGATTCCAGAGCCCTAACCCTGGGAGGTTCGGATTTGGAAAGTCTTGGGCGTAGCCCTGGAAACTGTGTTTGACACACTTGGGTAGTCCTGGCCCGTATTTGGGTCTGTCTTCCCTGAATCCTAACATCCAGGGAAGTCTCTGGGACTTGCCTGTCCTGGGGCCTCTTGTTAACACCTTGCCCACCTCTCTCCCCAGGATGACCAACTTCTGGATGATGGCAAGACACTGGGAGAGTGCGGCTTCACCAGTCAGACGGCACGGCCGCAGGCCCCAGCCACCGTGGGGCTGGCCTTCCGGGCAGGTGAGTGGGGCTGTCAGGCAGGGTGGAACAGACGAAGGGGTCGCTGGGGAGCCTGCTCTTGGCTCCTCCCCGCCTCCAGGGCATTGTGTTCCCCAGTCCACAAAGTGTAGGTGGTATCTTGTGATAGTGTGTGTGTTTCTCCACAAAGGGGAAAAAAAAAAAGAAAACGAGACGCTTGTAGAAATTGAAGTCTACTTCACGGGGGATTCTAATGTCTATCCCTAGTCATGTTTACAGAGGTCTTACTGAGTATTGGGCCGTCTGCTCAGCATTTTATCTCCGTTCCATTTAAAACACTCCTTAGCCTGCGAGGTAAGCACTGCTATCCTCACTTTGGAGACGTGGACACTTGGGCTTGCCGGCTGTCAAGATTCAGATGCTGACTGCCAGGACCTTTGTAGGACATCACTTAGACCCCCAGCATCTCTGTGCATGCCACACTTGTGCCCACTTTCAGGTTGAGTAACTGAGCCCAGGGAGGTTAGGTCGCTTGCTGGAACTGCCAGATCCAGAGTTCGTGTCTAGCCCCTGCCTGCCCCAGAGACCGTGCTTTGTGATCGACCACATCACCCCCTGCCTGATGTTTAGAAACCTGAGGGAGTGGCTCACTCCCCTCCAGTGTACCTCCTTGCCCCAAGAGGGGTTTGAATTTTATTCTTTGTCTCTGGAAACATGAACGAAAGTTCTACGTGATATGTTTTCACGACTGTGTACCTGGGGCTTTGTGGATGGCTGGGTAAACTTTGTTGGTAAGTAATTATTTTTCTGGCTTCTTGTGAGAAAACTAGCAAGGGGTGCAGAGGGAGTCCAGCAGTGTGCCACTTGCCAGTTTCGTAAGGATCCCTGTGCCAGGCCTCAGCAGCCATGTCCTTGGGTGGCTGCTTCATGCCCCCCCCCCCGCCCCCCGCCACCCTGCCGACTGGAGCTCCTGTCTCCATAGAGGGGTGCGACACATAGGCCAGTCTCACAGGCAGCCTGAGCCCCCATGCACCACAGGCCTTGGCCTGTGAGTGCTTAGCAGACGGAAGTCTTAGGGGCCTTTCTGTGGGTTCCCTCTGACCCTCACAGCGATGCTGAGGCAGGTACAGGGCTGGTCCAGACCTCTCTCATTCTGCTTCTGAAGCCAAGGCTGGACTGCCTTCTGGAAGTAGCAGCCCTTCTCTTACTGAACAAAGGCATTTTTGTGTAGGGTTGCAGACACTCTTGGAAGATGTTGATAGACCTATTTTTTGATGGAAAAATCACAACAGAGGGAGTGTCCCCCCGGCCCCGACTCTAGTTTATGGTGTTGAATGTGGGGGTGCCTAGACCCTGGGTGGCACCCCCTCCTCAGGCAGGGGATCGTTGTCTTGACAGAGTAAATAGTATGGACTGAAGCGGCTGTTCTTTGCTTCTCCCACGGACTACTTTTGTTGCGGAAGTACACTTGTGGGTGCCTAGTTGTGTCCTCGTTTAGTTCTTGTGATGACGATTCTTTCCAACTGGCTACTCAGTGAGGGAAAGGAGTGTTGAATAGCATCATCCAGACCATTTCCAAAAAATGGGAGAGGTGGCAAAAGCAAGAATTGTCTGTCACTGCAGACTTACGGCTTGGGGGAAGTTCGTTGCTACGCTGGGCCGGGTGTCTTCAGCACTGCTGACGTTTGGGGCTGGAGGATTCGGAATGGTGCTGTGCACTCCAAGGTGTTGAGCATCTCTGGCCACTACCAGAGATGGTCATATACCCACTCTCCCAAGGTGTCCGTTGCTAGGCTTGGCCGGCTTTGCCGAGGGGCCTAACAGGTTAAGAACCCTGAGCCAGGTGGAGAGAATAGCGTCCCTGTTAGAAGGAAGTGCAGGAGAGAAGTTACAAAACGGGACTTGTCTGCTCTGCGCCGAGGTGACAGCAGAAACAAGACGGGAGCCCTTCTGCAGCCGCTGTTCTCTAGTTGGGGGAAAGCATCTGGTCAAAGGGAACAGGACTGTTTGTGGCTGGTGGTAGGTGAATGCTCCTGAAGCAACACACAGGCATTGGGCTGCGGGGACTGTTTTTATAGAAGGGCTGGGGAAGTTTTCTCTGAGGTGATGTTGGGGTTGATCTGGATGGCAGGCTAGGGGCCAGCAAATGTGAAGCTCCTAAAACAGGAAGGAAGAGCTTGATACGGGAACACAAGAGACAGACAAACGTGACGACTTGAGATTCTATTCAGAGTATGACGGGATGCCGTTGGAAGGTTTGAGGCAGGGAAAGAACGGGCTGGCTTAAGCTTAAAAATCAGTGCTTGGTGTAGAGGAGGTGTGAATGGAACAGTGAGTTGGGGCTGATTGAGGGGAGACAAGTAGGTGGACACAGGCCAGCCCACAGGCTCACCCTTAGGGGCACAGGGTGAGGAGGACCCCACGGATGGCTGGGCTAGATGGAGGGGGTCAGGTTGCTGGTAGGGGTGGGAGGCATCCCAGTAGGATCACAGAGTCCAGGCAGTTAGGCAGGCCGGCCAGGACGAGGGAGACTCACTTTGCAGAGGTGGGAATTGGTTCGGAGGTCCCCCAGAAGCCGGGTGGCTGCTCCCTCCAGCTCTCCCCACCACTCCCCTGTCCACCAGATGACGCTTTCGAGGCCCTGCGGATCGAGCCCTTCTCCAGTCCGCCCGAGCTGCCCGATGTGATGAAGCCACAGGACTCAGGAAGCAGCGCCAATGAACAAGCAGTGCAGTGAGAGGGCTCCTGGCCCGCC